GCTGATTGTTCATTATCATTTACATCAGAGTTTCCCAAACTGGGGTTCATAAATCCCTGGTTTAAATAAATACATTTAAAAGTAAAAATATATCAAATTAAAACACTTACTAAAAAAGATTAAATATTTTGTTTGCCTGCATAACATGTAACCAGTAACCAATATATCAGAATCTTGAACAAGCAAATGTGTTGTTAAATTATTCAAATATTCACTTAAAATCTTGGGGGTTACTTAAAGAAAATATTTTTGGTCAAAAGGATTTGGCTTACAAAAAAAATGAGAATCCCTGCTTTACATTGTATATTATTTCTAGATAAACAACATTGAAAGACTTAAAGAGCTCCCTCTGTTTCTTTGCAGATGAGGTGGTGACAACTCATGGGCCAATTGAGCCGGATAAAGAAAATATCAGACAAGAGCCATATTCCCTCCCACAGGGCTTTATGTGGGACACACTGGACCTCAGCAACGCTGAAGTGGTATGTGCATGTGTGACATAAAATGTTTATACTGTATTTGCTATTCACTGAGATATAAAATAATCCTATGTATACAACATCATAGTCTTTTTTTTTTCTTTTGTAGCTTAAGGAGTTATACACTTTGCTGAATGAAAATTATGTTGAGGATGATGACAACATGTTTAGATTTGACTACTCTCCTAACTTTCTGAAATGGTAAGTGAGTGTTTGATGGTTTGCATTATATTCTGCCCATCTTAGATGATGTCTGTAATGTAGTGCATTGCACCGCATGCAGGGTAAGATGTGTGAGTTTCTTTTGCTGTCTTTAACTGTTAGGGCGTTACGTCCCCCGGGTTGGCTGCCCCAGTGGCACTGTGGTGTCAGGGTCTCGTCCAATAAGAAGCTGGTTGGGTTCATCAGTGCAATTCCTGCTGACATCCATATCTATGACACGTGAGTATGAGGCCACATCACATCAATGCCTCCACCAGAAGCCTGAAACTCTTGAGCAGGTTTTACCAAATCTGTTTGTACATTTTGAGAATTGTTCATTGTTCCAGTCCTTACTAATGCACTAATTCTCTTTCGATCCAAAGGTTGAAGAGGATGGTGGAGATTAACTTCCTGTGCGTGCATAAAAAATTGCGCTCAAAGCGTGTCGCTCCTGTACTAATCCGAGAGATCACACGGCGGGTCAATTTAGAGGGAATTTTCCAGGCTGTATACACTGCTGGTGTAGTTTTGCCCAAACCTGTTTCTACATGCAGGTATTAAATCTAACTGGATTGCTGCTTCACTAAATCATCAGTTTATGTTATTAGTTGCTAATTTGAAGCGTTTTGGTGAGATTTAACCTGTTGTCTGAATCTTTACAGATACTGGCATCGCTCTCTAAACCCCAGGAAGCTTGTGGAGGTTAAGTTTTCCCATCTCAGCAGAAATATGACACTACAACGGACAATGAAGCTCTACAGATTACATGATGTAAGCCTTTTTTGTCAAAACAACACACTTAAAGGAATAGTGCATCCAGATATTAACATTATTTTGTTCCAAACCCATAAGCTGTTTTATTTTATTTTTTTTTATTTTATTCTATGGTTTTGTTCTGCATTTTTCCTTAGAGCACTCGTACTCCTGGTTTGAGGCAGATGGGAGATGGGGATATGAAGCAGGTGACAGCATTGCTGCAGAAACACCTGAGCCGGTTCCACCTGCGGCCTGTCATGGGGGAAGAGGAGGTGAAGCACTGGTTCCTACCACAGGAGAACATCATTGACACTTATGTAGTCGAGGTACGCATAGCAACATGCACCTACAAACGTGCTGATCATATTTTTATCAAGATTATCTTACTCCCTTATTGTGCTTCCTTGAAAGGGCTCTGGCGGGATGCTAACAGACTTCATCAGTTTCTACACCCTGCCATCCACAGTGATGCATCATCCACTGCACAAAAGCCTAAAGGCTGCTTATTCCTTTTACAATGTCCACACAGAGACGCCGCTCATAGACCTGATGAATGATGCTCTCATCCTAGCTAAACAGGTATAACTGACACAAAACACATCAGAAGCGTTGCCTAACACAAATGAGCTTGTTAACCCAAGACTATTACTAATGATTTGTTGACTAATGGCTAATTTCTAATGATTTGATATTAAATCATGTCTTCATGTATTGTAATTCATATTCCCTCTTTTTTGGTGGGGATGTTTTGGGACATCAGAAAGGTTTTGATGTTTTCAATGCGCTGGATCTAATGGACAATAAGGCTTTCTTGGAAAAGCTCAAGTTTGGGATTGGTGATGGTAACCTGCAGTATTATCTGTTCAACTGGAAATGCCCTCCTATGGACCCAGAGAAAGTAAGATTCTTTTTTTT